CATACATCTTGGTAAGAATCCAACCTTCCATTCTAGATCCAAACATATTGATGTGAGGTATCATTGGAGTTAGCTAAGATTCATACAAATGATAATGATGCTCATATGATGGCTAAGACACTATCAAGAGAAAAAGTTTGAGTATTGCTGTGAGATCGCCAGATTGGCGGTCACCTCCACATAGTTGTGAGAGGGGAGTATTGTTGGGATGTGGGCTCCCAACTATGTATTTTTATTCACAAATAGCCCACAACATTTGATCATAGGGTGGCCAGTCATAAAAACACAAAAAGGAAGCGTCAGAAGGGGTTAGGGCAGAGAGCCAAGAGATAGAGAGAGAAAAGAAGAGAGAAAGAGAGTTTCGTCTCCATAGAACCTCCGAATTTCCAGTCCAGATCTCAGTTAATTCCACTGTTGGATTCACATAAAATTTGGAGAGTGCATTCATGACATCCTCATCTCAGTTCTCACCATTCAGTTTTTCATTTGGTCTTCTGTGGGTGGAAAAATCGAGCTCTGACCGTGATTCTGCTCCAATTCACTGGAATCCCAAGCAGTTTTGGTAAAACCACGATCACCATATCGTTAACCGTTGGATCGGTCTAAGTTTTTGGCATCGAGTTCCTGAGACGTAGTTCTAGGTTTTTACCTTTCAAATTTTGATTGTGAAATTTATAATGGGAGAAATTGTGCTAGAACAGTAGCACAAAGTTGTGAGTTTTTCAGCTTCTTATTCTCTTGTTGATTTATTGTATTGGCTGGATAGTTGCACGAATTTGTGCAAATCATTGAGACACTGTTGTATCCTACCTTTGATCATAGTGGAACTTAATTATTGGCTTGTACCCATGGGTTTTTACTGTTAGACAAAAGACATCTAGTGTTTGTAAAAATATTTCTATTCCCGCCTTCCAAACCTGATAGTCTTCTCCTTCAAATAATGGTGGTCTGTTTATTGATGTTCCTTCCCTGTAAACCTGATTATGCATAGACATCTTGATATATCGTTTAGAAATATCTTATCTAACTAAGCTCTAATACCACTTGTTAGATAAATATCATCTAGAGGAGGGTGAATAGATGCACAAATTAAAATAGATGCCAAATTAAAAATTTATTTTAAGATGTCCAATATTTATTAATTCAATTTTAATTATCAAATTGAATAAAGGTAAAGCAGAAGCTATATAATTAGAGAGATAAAATATCAACAAGATAGAGAAAGATAGAGATAAAAATAAGGGGTGTAAGGAGAGTAATATAGTGAAAAAGAGATAAGGGAAAGAGAAGAGCACACAATGATTATACTGGTTCGGGTATAGCCAACCCTACATCCAGTTCTCAGTCAACTCTTAACACAAGAGTGACCCCAATTAACTATCTTTTAAATTCAGTTCACAAATTGTTGAAACATACAAGGATATGAATGTTGAACATACAAGGATGTGAAGCTTCTAGATTTTGATGATGATTCAAGAATAAAGGACTTAAAGATTTGAAGACTTGTAATGTTATGTAATAACTCTGTTTTTATGTTTTTGAGTCTGTAATATTAGAGTCCAAGATAGCTGGCACATAGATCACTCTTTAAAAGCTCTAAAAACTCATTTTTATCAAAAACATACTGGATTAATCGATTAAATGGAAGGATAATCGATTATTACAGAGAGAAAACCATTTTCAGCATGTGCTCTTTGGAATAATCGATTAAACACCCTGTTAATCGATTAATTGTGCTGTTAATCGATTAAATGCCTTGTTAATCGATTAACTGGAGCTGTTTTGGGTTCGCTGCGAATTTGGCTCTAGAATAATCGATTAACACTCAAGATAATCGATTATTTCAGTCATATATGTGTTTTGAAATTCAAAATTGGACCAAGTTTCGAAAACCCTATTCCCAATTCATATGTTTTTAGAAAATCCCCAATTCTCAAACCCTAATCTCTCTACTTAAGGTTATCTAAGGCTCTCTGCAAATAGAACAACCTTTTTCAAACAAAAGTTAAGAGCTGTGACTGCCAGAGAACTGTTTATTGGGAGGAAAAAGGGGCTTTTGAAACCTAGTGTGGGCTAGAAGCAATAAGAATCACTGAGTGGGTTTTCTTGGTGGATTGTGTGTTGTGCCATCTCTAGGGAAAGTTGTTTTTCATCCTTTGTGGATTCAAAGGAGGTGTTCATCTCTTGTGTGACTCAAGAGAGGTGTATTCTTTACCTTATCTTTTCATTTGTAATATGTTTGTATAACTGTGATTATACTGACAGTGTTAATCCTCTGTTTGAGTGATTAGCAACTGGACGTAGGATCTTTTGATCCGAACTAGTATAAATCGACTGTGTAATCTTCTATCCCTTCTCTATTTACTTTACACATCATTTTAATCGGTGAAATTTGGGAAAAATTTTAAAACCCTAATTTTTGTTTAAGAAACCAATTCACCCCCCCTCCTGGTTTTTGTCCGTAAACGCAAATATTCCACTGTGTGATTCTAACAAGTGGTATCAGAGCTTGCTTTGATAGTCATTCAATTTTGGAAAATGGCCGGACAAAATCAAACGTTTTGCCGAGGGTGCTTCTATCAATAGACCCCCACCTTTTACGGGGCAAAATTATCCATTTTGGAAAGTTAGGATGAAAATATTTTTGGAGTCTGTTGATAGAGGTGTTTGGGATGCAATTTTAAATGGACCTTTTGTTCCTAAAGTAACTGAAAATGGAGTAGAAGTATCAAAACCATTTTCTAGATGGTCGGCTGAAGAAAATAGTAAAGCCCAATATGATGTTAGGGCTAGAAATATAATTTCATCTGCTTTAACCCTTGATGAGTTTTACAAGATCTTTGTTTGTAAGAGTGCTCAAGATATGTGGGAAATGTTAAGAGTAACCCACGAAGGTACCGATGATGTAAAAAGAGCATGAAAGAATTCATTGATCTAAGAATATGAGATGTTCCGGATGTAAAAAGGGAAAATGATCTTTGACGTTCAAAAACGTTTCACACATATTGTGAACTATCTCACTAGGTTAGGTAAAATTTTTTATGTTGATGAATTAAATGTAAAAATTTTGAAATCTTTGGATAGGAAATGACAACCTAAGGTGACGACCATCACGGAGTCACAAAATCTTGCCACAATGTCTATGGCGGCGCTCTTTGGAAAGTTGAGAGAGCATGAACTTGAACTTGGAAGGCTAAATGATGAAGAAGGTCAACATCAAAAGAGGAACCTTGCCTTCAAAACTGAAATCTCCAAGAATAAGAACAAGAAGGAAGAAGAAGACTCGAAAATTGAAGAAGAAGAACAATTGAGTCTTATGATAAAAAAATTTACCAAGTTCATGAAAGCCAAAGGGAAGCAACCCTTCAAAGTTAAGGAAAAGGTAAGAGAAAGTACTTCTTTAAATATTAAATGTTATGGTTGTGGTGAAACAGGACATGTAAAAACCGAATGTCCAAATAAGAAGAATGAAGACCATAAGGGCAAAAAAAATTTCAAGAAGAAAGCATACATTGCTTGGGATGATAGTGACTCAATTTCGGAGTCAAGTGATTCAGAAATTGAAGCTAATATTTGCTTGATGGCAAAAGACAACATATCTTCTGACTTTGAGGTTAGTGTTAGAATCGCGCAGCGGAATGTTTGCGTTTCCAGACAAAAACCAAGAGGGAGGGTGAATTGGTTTCTTAACAAAAATTAGGGTTTTAAAAATTTCTCCAAATTTTACTGATTAAAATACTGTGTAAAGTAAATAGAGCAAGGATAGAGTATTACACATATGATTTATACTGGTTCGGATCAAAAGACGCTATGTCCAGTTGCTAATCACTCAAACAGAGTATTAACGTTGTCACTATAATCACAGTTATACAATCAGATTACAAAACAAAAGATAAGGTAAAGAATACACCTCTCTTGAGTCACACAAGAGATGAACACCTCCTTTGAGTCCCACAAAGGATGAAGAACAACTTTCCCTAGAGACGACACAACACACAATCCGCCAAGAAAACCCACTTAGTGATTCTTATCGCTTCTAGCCCACACTAGGTTCCAAAAGCCCATTTTTCCTCCAACAAACAGTTCTCTGGCAGTCACAACTCTCAACTTTTGTTTGAAAAAGGTTGTTCAATTTACAGAGAGCCTTAGAGAACCTTAAGTAGAGATATAGGGTTTGGGAATTGGGGATTTTCGAAAATAGATGAATTGGGAATAGGGTTTTCGAAACTTGGTCCAATTTTGAACTTCAAAACACATATCTGACTGAAATAATCGATTATATTGAGTGTTAATCGATTATTCCAGAGCCAAATTCACCTGGAACCCAAAATCACTCAGTTTAATCGATTAACTGAGTATTTAATCGATTAATAGTCCTGTTAATCGATTAACAAAGGCTTTAATCGATTATTCCAAAGAGCAGATGCTGAAAATGGTTTTTCTCTCTGTAATAAGCGATTATCCTGCCATTTAATCGATTAATCCAGTATGTTTTTTATAAAAATGAGTTTTTAGAACCTCTAAAGAGTAGACTATGTGCTGGCTATCTTAGACTCTAATATTACAGACTCAAAATCATAAAAACAGAGTTATTACATAATATTACAAGTCTTCAAATCTTTAAGTCCTTTGTTCTTGAATCATCATCAAAATCTACAAGCTTCATATCCATGTATGTTCAACATTCATATCCTTGTATGTTTAAACAATCTCCCCCCTTTTGATGATGATCAAAGTATCCTTTAAAGCCCTTTGTAATAATTTGTTTTGTCTGTCACATCTAACAAAAACATTAAACATACCAGATAATATTTAAATTTAATAAACATAAGAGGCTTTAAATAAATTTCTCCCCCTATTTTGATTATGATCAAAAAATTGAAAGCTCCCCCTCAATAGATGCATAATTTATAAGATAACTCCCCCTCAATCAAAGCAAAAATTACCAATTTTATTCAATAAATGAAAGTAATTACAACAAATAAAATATGAGGAAGAGATTAAAACTCTTCGCTTGCATCGCTATTGAATTGTGCATCAAACTTATCTTCTAAGTTACAGACCCTATCATCTACATCTGAGATACGACGAATGATCTCCTCATGCCGTTCTTCAGAGATTGTGAAGAATTCTTGCATTCTTTTATTCATATCAAAGAACATGTCTTCCATTGATGGAGGGGCAGAAGATGTCCCAGCAGTATGTATATTTTCAGTAGGAAATTCAACAGCTGCAACCATCTCTTCATCAGAATCTTCAGCATTTTCAGCCATGTTGGGAGCGTTGTCTTTGTGAACATAAATGTTATTGACACGCACCATTTGAAGTTTAGTTAGCGTGCTATCAAGCATTCGGTTTGAATTTGTTGTTCTTACCGCTTGCTCTCCTTCAACATTCACTCCTTTGTACTTTAAAATATGAGAGATTAGAAGAGCATAGGGAATTTTAAAAGTAGGATGACGCTTAGCTTTCAGCATGGTCATGGTGACAAGGCTACCCCAATCGATTGGCTCATTATTCATGATTGCATGAATAATGCGAAGATCTATGGATGAGCATTGGGCATGGTTGGTTGCCCGGGGACATAAATTCCAGACAAGTAGATGCAGTAGCAAGCGTTCCTCCTTTTTTAATGGGCCAGCCAAAAGAAGACGCACAATCTCCATGGAGGGGTTGCAGAGAAAAGATCGGTAGGCTATAATCCTATCAAAGTCTTCTAACTCCCCAAAAATATTTATAGCATCGTCTCTTACATTAAAATGGGTAACATTTACCCATATATCGTCATCAAGGATGATAGTCACACCCTTTACACGAGAAGTAGCTACATGATCTTTAAATTTAAAACGAGAATAGAATACCCTAACTAGATCAGGGTAGTAAGTACCTTGCATTTGGATAAATGGGAGAACACCTTGAATTTCAAGAAGATTGGGAAAATTAAATCCCCTATTGATGAATTGATCAATAATGAATTTTGGAGTAATGATACTCCTTTCCTTCCAGAATGTGAGAAATTCTTGTCGACCCTCATCATCTGAGATCCATCCTTCAACAGAGTTTGGACGGGGATGAGAGACAGGAGCAAATCTTCTTCTTGTGGAAATCTTAGCACGAGAAGAGGAAGCCATTAGGATTAGAAGAAAAACAAGAGAGTTTTGAAAGCAAGTGAGGTTAGGAGAAAGCAAGAAGGCTTAAATGATGCTAGAATGCTTGGATTCAAGAATTTGAGGTGTGGAGAAGTGAAATGAAGGCTTCCTATATATAGGGATCATGAATAACAGTCATAAACGATCATATTTGAGTGAAGGAGTGCCAAAAGAGCCGTTGAAAACGGCTAGAACAGTAAAACGTCCCAATTTAATTGATTGAAACTTCAGTTAATCGATTAAGCCAACAACAGAACTAGATAATCGATTATCTGATGCTGTTAATCGATTAAATCAGTAGTTAATCGATTATTTCTTGAAATAATCGATTATTCCAAAGAGAAACTTCAGGTTTTGACCATTTAGATGCAGATAATCGATTATTCTAGAGAGATCATCAAAATTTTAAGGTTTAGACACATGATAATCGATTAACACTCTACATAATCGATTATTACAGTACAATCATGCAAAAATTAATTAGTTAAGAAGATTTTAAGTTATTTCTAATATTCCTAAGTCTCTTCTAAGATCATAGAATCTATCCTTGGGAAGAGGTTTAGAAAAAATATCTGCTAATTGATGCTTTGTATCAACATATTCAATTAAACAATTTCCTTTACTAATATGATCTCTTAAGAAATGATGTCTAATCTCTATATGCTTAGTTCTAGAGTGCATTACTGGATTCTTAGTAAGATTGATTGCACTTGTATTATCACACATCAATGGAATATCACTTAGAAAGATACTATAGTCTTCTAATTGTTGTTTCATCCACAAAATTTGAGCACAGCAATTACCAGCTGCAATATATTCAGCTTCAGTAGTGGATAAAACAACACATGCTTGTTTCTTAGAATGCCAAGACACTAATGATGATCCTAACAAATGACATGTTCCACTAGTACTCTTTCTATCTATTTTACATCCACCATAATCAACATCAGAATAACCTATTAAACTAGGAGAAGCTTCAGATGGATTCCATAAACCAAAACCTGTAGTTCCTTTTAAATATTTTAAAATTCTTTTTACTATAGTTAAGTGAGATTCTTTTGGACATGCTTGAAATCTAGCACACACACAAACAAAATGCATAATATCAGGTCTACTTGCAGTTAAGTATAACAGTGAACCTATCATACCTCTATACATAGATTGATTAATTTCCAAACCTGATTCATCCTTGTCTAAATAGCATGAAGTTCCCATGGGTGTGTTAGCTTCCTTTGAAGTGTCCATTCCAAATTTCTTGAGAATCTCTTTGCAGTATTTGGTTTAAGAGACAAAAATGTCGTCTTTAAGTTGTTTGATTTGAAGTCCAAGGAAGAATGATAATTCTCCCATCATTGACATTTCAAACTCTCCTTGCATTATCTTAGCAAATTCTACACACAAGGAATTATCAGTTGATCCAAAAATGATATCATCAACATATACTTGAACTAATAGGATATGTTCTTTTACTTTCTTAATGAACAAAGTAGAATCAATTTTTCCTCTAGAAAAATCATTTGAAGTTAGAAAACTACTTAATCTTTCATACCAAGACCTAGGAGCTTGTTTCAAACCATATAAATCTTTCTTCAATTTAAAAATATGATTGAGATATTTAAAATCTTCAAATCCAAGGGGTTGTTCCACATAAACTTCTTCTTTGTTAAACCCATTTAAGAATGCACTTTTAACATCCATTTGATATAATTTAAATTTCATCAATGAGGCATAAGCAAGAAGTAGGCGTATAGCCTCTAACCTGGCAAAAGGAGCATAAGTTTCATCATAATCAATACCTTCCTCTTGACAGTAACCTTTGGCAACAAGTCTGGCTTTAATATTTTTTTATATTTCCATCTTCATCAAGTTTGTTTCTAAATACCCATTTTGTTCCAATTACTTGATGTGATTCTTATCTTGGGATTAATTCCCAGACTTGATTCCTTTCAAATTGATTAAGTTCTTCTTGCATTGCTATGCACCATTGGTCATCTTTAAGCGCTTCTTCAACACTTTTGGGTTCTATCTGTGAAACAAAAGCTACAGACATACAGAAATTGGTCATATGTCTAGTTCTTACCCCTTTTGAGATATCACCAATAATATTATCCATTGAAATTCCTCTTGGTGATTGTCATTATTTTGCTAATTCAGTTGGTTGAGAAGGCTCATTTTCATTTAAGAACATTTCTTCTAGAGCCTCTCTTATGTACTCATCATCACCTGCAAGTTCTTTATTTGACTGAAGAGGATTTTCCTCAAGGTCTACAATTTCATCAAAAGTGACATGTACAGATTCTTCAACATTTAAAGTTCTTCTATTAAACACTCTATATGCTTTGCTAGTTAGTGAATAACCTAAGAAAATGCCCTCATCGGCTTTTGAGTCAAATTTTCCTAAGTTATCTTTTCCATTATTTAACACATAGCATTTACATCTAAATATTTTCAATTGAGCAACATTAGGCTTTCTACCATTTAACAATTCATAAGGAGTTAACTTTATAATTGGCCTAATAAGCATCCTATTTAACACATAACATGCAGTACTTACAGCATCAACCCAAAAATATTTAGGAACATTTGATTCATTTAGCATGGTTCTAGCAAGTTCCTCTAGTGACCTATTTTTCCTATCTACTACACCATTTTGTTGGGGAGTCCTAGCTGCAGAAAAATTATGCAAAATTCCATTTTCCTCACAATAATTTTCAAACCACTCATTTTGAAACTCTCCACCATGGTCACTTCTTAACACCTTAATTCTTAAGTCTTTCTCATTTTGAATTTGCTTTGCAAACTTTCTAAAGACCTTAAAAGCTTCACTTTTTAATGTTAGGAAAAATGTCCAAGTATATCTAGAAAAATAATCAACAATTACAAGAGCATAATAATTTCCACCAAAACTTTTTATCCTAGAAGGACCAAATAAATCTAAGTGTAAAAGTTCTAAAGGTTTTGATGTGGAAATAACATTATTAGATTTAACGGATGATTTTACTTGTTTACCTTTTTGACATGCATCACATAATCTATCTTTTTCAAATTTTAACTTAGGCAAACCAACCACTAAGTCCTTTGCTATTAATTTGTTTAATTGATGCATATTTATATGAGCCGCTCTCTTATGCCATAACCATGGGTTCTCTTCCTTGGCAACTAAGCATGTTATACTAGTATCATGTATACAATCCAAATCAATCAAATATATATTATTATGCCTAATGCCTTTCAATGCTATATTATCATGTACAAAACTTACTTTCAAAGATTACCTTGAATACTTTGTCACAAAGTTGACTTATACATAGAAGATTATGCTTTAGCCCATCAACAAGAAGCACATCCTTTATCTCCAAAGTGTTTGCACCACCTGTATTTCCAATTCCAAGTATCTTTCCTTTGTTGTTGTCCCCATAGGTTACATATCCTTGTTCTTTAGCTTTGAAACTTACAAATTTCGTTTTGTCTCCAATCATATGTTTTGAGCATCCACTATCAAGATACCACATAGACTTCTTTGATTTGGAAGTTTCCTACAAAACAAGAACATAGTAAACTTAGGTCCCATAACTTTTGGGTCCTTGGGGTTAGAGACAAACAAATCATTTAACTATAGGAACCCAAACATATTTTCCTTTAGGAACACCAAAATGCTTAATTTTACATCTATTTGAGGTATGACCATGTTTCATACAATAAAAGCATGCATTAGATGTAATTTTAGAATATGATACATTTCTAACTATTGACGGTTTAGTTCCTTTTACAACCCATATTCTTCTATTTTTAATTTTAGGCTTTTTCAATGGAACATGACAATTTTCTCTATTTTGAATAATAGCTTTATCCTTAAAATTATCACTTATTTCCTTCTCAACTTTATCAAGCAAATGGTTAAGTATATCAATATCATATTCATACTCTTTACATGATGCACATGCTATATTCTTATTATCTTTTTCATCTAAACATACAATTTTCGTTTTTAAGGACTCCACCTCTTTTTCGGATTTATTCAAACTCTTTTTCACAGATTTATATTCATTTTTCAAGTCCTTAAAAGCATTAAACAATTCTTCATATGCATTTTGTAATTCATCAAAGTTATTTTCATCATCACTTGAGGATGAGTCAGAATCACTGACCTCAAAGTCGGAAGATATATTGTCTTTTGCCATCAAGCAAATGTTAGCTTCTATTTCCGAATCACTTGACTCCGAACTCGAATCACTATTGTCCCAAGCGATGTAGGCTTTCTTCTTGAAGAATTTCTTGCCTTTGTTATCTTCATTCTTCTTGTTTGGACATTCAATTTTTATATGTCCTGTTTCACCACAACCATAACATTTAATATTTAAGGAAGTATTTTCTCTTATCTTTCCCTTACCTTTGAAGGATTGCTTCCCTTTGTCTTTCATGTACTTAGTAAATTTCTTTATCATAAGACTCAATTGTTCTTCTTCTTCATTTTCCGAGTCTTCTTCTACCTTCTTGTTCTTACTCTTGGAGATTTCGATTTTGAAGGCTAGGTTCCTCTTTTGGTGTAGACCTTCTTCATAATTTAGCCTTCCGAGTTCAAGTTCGTGCTCTCTCAACTTTCCAAAGAGCGCCGCCATAGACATTGTTGCTAAATTTTGTGACTCCGTGATGGTCGTCACCTTAGGTTGCCATTTTCTATCCAAAGATTTCAAGATTCGTACATTTAATTCATCAACATAAAAAATTTTACCTAATCCGGTGAGATGATTCACTATGTGCGTGAAACGCTTTTGAACATCAAAGATTGTTTCTCCTTGTTGCATCCGGAACATCTCATATTCTTGGATCAATGAATTTTTTCGTGCTCTCTTAACGTCATCGGTACCTTCGTGGGTCACTCTTAACATTTCCCACATCTCTTGAGCACTTTTATAAACAGAGATCCTATAAAACTCATCAAGGGTTAACACAGATGAAATAATATTTCTAGCCCTAACATC